ATTTAAGCCTCTCTCTGTCCATGTAACCCAGTTGCCTCTGAAGATGTCTTGAATAAAGACAAAAGCTAAGGTACTCCGTTGTTTCCATTTTCCCGTGTGATTTTATATATATATATATATATATATATATATATATATATATATATATATATATATATATATATATATATATATATATATATATCTTGATAAAATCACACGGGAAGATGGAAACAACGGAGTACCTTAGCTAAGGTACTCCGTTGTTTCCATCTTCCCGTGTGATTTTATCAAGATTTATCTTATCCACGTTGTCATTGTGGATCTACATGAAAATATATATATATATATGCTGATACCACAAGAAGAAAGAAAACTACGTGTTTCTTAACAATTATAAAATGATTTACTTGCATATATATATATATATATATATATATATATATATATATATATATATATATATATATATATATATATATATATTTATATATATATATATATATATATATATATATATATATATATATATATATATATATATATATACAGTATATATATGTATTTTTTTTTATGGGATTAGCTCACCCGGGCACATGTCAATGACCCACATCAGGGTCTGGGGGGCGAAAATATAATAATAATAATAATAATAATAATAATAATAATAATAATAATAATAATAATAATAATAGAAGACCATAAAAAAAAGATCAATAGTGTGAAATGAAATGGCATGTAGTGTTATCAAAGTAAGAGAAACAATTGAAACCCTGCAGTTGTGTTTAAATGAGGCAGAAAGCCAGATCAGCAACCTGGGACTTGGTCACAATTTTCGTGATGCCACATGGTAGCAGGGCCTACCATTAGACAATACATTATGCTTCCAGTATCTTCTCCGGCGGCAGCACCTCCCTGTTTGGTAGCTGCCTACTACCTACTACTCTGCTTTGTTTGACTTTGTCTTACTTGATAAAAATAAAATAGAATGAAGGAATTATCTCAGAAGGATTGTATGTACCGTGAGACAGAGTTACTGAAAATGGCGCTCCTCCTCCCCCGACAAAGGCTGTACAGGTAACTCTAAACGTGAACCCCCATCAATACAACATTGTCGATAACTGTGTTGTCAACAATGATGTGAATATTATACGAAAATGTTGGTTACATTACTGTTGGGAACATTGTTGCCAACATAAATATATGTCGAGTAAACTGACTGGTGATGGAATACGTGATTATTTCACCAAACTTGGCTTCTTTTATCCAACATGTTGACGACAGTGTTAATGACACTGTTGTAGTGGTGTAGGTCCACCTTAACATTATTGCCTCCAGCAGCAGACCCAACAAGCCCACACTGTCATGGACGGACGGTAATCTTGAGCAACACGCAATACTGTATTATAAATCACATTAAACATTTACACTCTTTGTTTTTTATTTTCTTTATATTTCAAAGTTCAAATAAAATAAGAAGTGAGTAGTGAGGAGTGTAGAGGAGCAGCTGTCACATCCGGTGTGTCTTACCACAACACACTGCCACCTGCTCCACTACACCCACACTGCTCACTCTCATCAACAACACTGGAGGCGGGAACAATTGATAAGATAATAACAGTATGATGGACACGTTATGACTGAAAAGATTGTATACAAAATAAAAAAATATTTTCTTTTACAAAATAAAATGTTGAAATCGACAGTTAATGTTACTAAAGTAGAAAAAGACAAGTGAATTTTAATCAGCTCAACGAAATAAGGACACACAAGCTACTGATTATCATACTCGTCTGAGGTACACACACACACACACACACGCACACACCAAGTCTGTTTCGTATACAGTGGCACTGGTGTTAGTTATCGTGGGACGGCACGACGAAATAGCCCCTAACTGTTTACTCAGGTTCAATAGTTGAGCGACAGCGTATGGCTCACAGATTGATGGTCCTTCTAATAATCGACTCAAACAGGCCAGGTCTTCAAAATGGACGATCAAGTGGTACAGTATATTCACCCGCCTAAACTTGTTTCAGGTACAGTGAGGGGGAGGGTGTTCCTATACCCTTGTGATATCCCCAGTCAATATACTGTACGTATCATGCCCGAGTCCATATCCATATACGACTACAAGGGATAACCCGAAGCGCGATCCAGGAGACATTAGTCAAATCCCCATTCATCATTACTACTGCGACACTGCCACATCTTGACTGGGGATGTCACAGGGGGTACAGAAACACTTTTCCCTGACTATATCACACTAAACATGTCACTTTACCGGCCGAAATGTGAAATATTTGACCCCGATACCTGTTCCTCCCCCATAACTATATTCAGACTACTACAGGACAAACAGGTTCCTCTAATTAAAAATAAAAATAAAAAATGAAACTTGGCCCGCGTGACAATGAATCAATCTGTCTCACATGAAGTTAGACATAAAGATGGAATCATACACTCGATTTTCTTTCAATAAAAGGTCATGAAACAACACCCCTCTCAAAAGATACTACGTTGAATTTTCTTGGTAATAAGTAACGTAACAACGCTCCTTATTTCCTCGTTTTAATTAACATAGAACGACTGTGATCCAAGTAGCATTAAAACAGCAACGAGTCTCTTCTGTCACTGGATACATTGTCTGATCCACAACAATGCAGAGTACAGCGACGTCAGAAACTTAAGAACCGAAAGGAAGTGTATTACCAGTACATGCACAGACCTGAGCCTCCCACCCCCTCCAGAGCGTTATAAGAGCCGTTCCTTTTACCACACACACACACACACACACACACACACACTCCAGTCACTGTTGGTGCGAAGGGAAGTGTTCAAGGGACAGTTGGATTCGGGAAGTTGTAAAGGTCATCTTTGTCATTTTTCGTTGAACTTACTACATTACTACAATACTTCTTAAATAACGAGAGAGAGAGAGATTAACCCAAACTAAGTTGCCTCACTTGTTTACGTGTCTTCACTCAAGTGTTTACGTGATCTGATTGTTTATTTATGGGATGAGGGCGGTTGTTTATGGGATCTGATTGTCTATTTGCGAGTCGGAACCTCTTGTTTATCGCGCTCTAATTCCCAGGTGTTGCCGTGAGCTAGAGGGGGGGGGGGATCACTGGCTTATTGGACAGGAGGGACCAGGATTACCTGTAGATTAGACCCCAACTTATTTCACTTTACCCATCCTAACCTAACCACCTTAACCTAACCTAACCTAACCTAATTCTAACCTAACCTAACTTAACATAACCTAATTCTAACCTAACCTAATCTAATCTAAGTACCTTAACTCTTACCTAACCTAACCTACCTAATCTAACTAACTTAACATAACCTAATTCTAACCTAACCTAATCTAATCTAAGTACCTTAACTCTTACCTAACCTAACCTAACCTAACTAACTTAACCCTAACTACCCTAACCTAACTCAACCTGTGTGCCACTAAGAGGGTTCAGGACCCCACTTGACCCAGCCGTGTCAATATTGTTCATTTAGTATCTGTGTTTTTCTACCTAAACTGTTTAAGCTAAAAGAATACACACGGAGTACTTGCTCAGGTAACTACCACCATCACCACCACTACCACAACCACTACAACTGCCACCACCACTATTACTACTACCGCTACCACAACCACTACTACTACAACCACTACCACAACGACTACAACTGCCACCACCACTATTACTACTACCGCCACATCCACTACTACTACTACTACTACTATTACTACTACCACTATTACTACTACCATCACCACCACCACCACAACTACTATTATTATTACCACCACAACAACCATTACCACCACCTCTACTCCTACTAATACCTCTACCATCACGACCACCACCACAACCACCATTATTACTACTACCACCACCACCACCACCACCACCCCCCCCTACTACTACCATCACCACATCACTAGCACCACAACTTCACCATAACCACCATCACAACCACTACCACCTCCATCCCAAACCACTACCACCACAATCCACTACCCCCACTTCCACTAACCACCACCACAGCCACTACCAAACTCACTGTCACCACTACCACCACAATGCATCAAGTCGTATCAGGAGAAATCTGACTCCCAGTTGTTGTTATGATGTTATTACTGTGCTTCAAAAACATAGGTCATTAAGAGCGTAGCAAGGTTAGTGGCTACACTATTACTGCAACATTTAACAATTATACGAGATAAAACAAATTGTTATCGACTCCCAGATAAACATTACTACTGGCAGGAAACCACACCAACGCTTCCATTGGTTCCTGGACGATAGCTGCCAAATATTATCAGATTACATAATTACGTAACAACAAGAGAGTACAGTACACAAAAAGAAACTGATTCTGATAATAATAACGATAGAGAGTTGACAGTGTAGGCAATAATAATAATAATAATAATAATAATAATAATAATAATAACAACAACAATAACAATAACAATAATAATAGTAGTAGTAGTAGTAGTCGTAGATATTGACTATGAGGCTACAGTCACGGAATGCCGCATGGATCTGCGGCTCAACTAATTTAACACAGATAGGATAGCTTCTTATGTATTAGGATATTTAATATTAAGGTAAATAAATGGTGGCGAAGGTGTGGCTATTGGGGAGTGGAGGCCACGTTAAAAAAAAAAAAAAAAAAAAAAGTAGTAGTAGTAGTAGCAGCTTCGGTCGGCTTTGCTCTGCCTCAAGGGAACGAGAGCTTCTGCCCCAATTCCGACAACTGCTGCAGATATTGACTATGAGGCTACTGTCACTGAATGCCGCATAGATCTGCGGCTCAACTAATTTAACACAGATAGGATAGCTACATATGTATTAGGATATTTAATATTAAGGTAATTAAATGGTGGCGAAGGTGTGGCTATTGGGGGAGGCTGGAGGCCATTTAAAAAAAAGTAGTAGTAGTAGTAGTAGTAGTAGTCGACAGGGTAGATATCAAGTGAGTGTGTGTGTGTCCGGCAAAGAACGTGTACTCACCTCTTGACCGTTGAAGCTGTTATTATGGGCGGCGGTGGGCGGGTGGGCGGCACCATTGTGGGGTGGATGGGGGGTGGTGGGCGCGGAGGAAGTGGGCGTGATGCTGTTCTGCAGGTCGGCCAACAGCGCATCTGAAACACAATAATATAAACTGAAACACCATATTCCATGCCTATGAACTTTGAAACATCACAATACCCAGTAGTATATTTTCGAGTTGCCCTCAGTACTGCCTCCAGATCTTTCAAACCTCAGAGGACAACACCTTTTAATTTACATCAATAAGTCATCCCTCTTAGTTTCTGCCTCCCCATGATCCTCAATTGAATAACAAACGTAGGCTACCATACAATATTCGTTTCCCAATTTTTGACACCTGTTTGATTCTTTTAGCTAACGAGGATAAAAAAAAAATATTCTATAGCATTTCCGTCGGATACCATTACTTTTTTCGATTTAGTTTTACTTTTTTATTTCACTTAAGAGAGTACAAGTTAGCGGGGACATACAGTGTTTACTTCTTACTCAACCAATCAGCAGAAGTGTCTATGTCACGTGATACAATACTCGTGCATGCGTTTATGTAGGAAATTTATAATTTTCGATTTGTTTTTAATTTTTATTTCCAGATTTTGTTTTCTTTAGGTTCTTTTGTTTTTCTTTTGTCTTGTTGTGTTAGGTTAGGTTTACACACCGGGAGGTCCAGGGGGCAGAGGTTCGGTCAGGTTTCTCTGGATAGGTTAGGTTAGGTTAGACAAGTATACGTTAGGTTTCATTAGGTTTGTGCGTGTTTTTACCCCGCAATTCCCTTATACCTCAAACAATCAACCATGGTCCAGTCATCATATCTGAGGGTTGGCGACCACAGTCCAACACTCTAAACGTTCTTTGGCTGCTGTTTTTTTATCAATCCTCCAAGATTACGTTTAATATGTACTCAATGATTTCAGATGTAGCGTCAAGCTGAATATTTCCCCTGAAGCCGTAAATGGGAAAAATCCAAGATGGCCGCCAGACGAATTGCTTAAACTGAATAAGAACAAAATTTTCGGCAATATGTCACATAGATATGAATGAAGTATAATTTTCTCTGTTTTTACACATAAGAAATAAAATTACTGTACGTCGTCATATATTCTAATAAATGCCTAGAAATCTTCAGGGGACGATTTTTATGCCTTTTCTAATAATTTATTTGTATAGTTTGTACTGTAAGTGCGATCTCTTCGTGGGTACAACTTTTCACTCTTTATTTCTGACTTAACAACAATAGCAATCACTCACTATTCCTGGATTTTCCCATTTACGGCTTCAGGGAAAATATTCAGCTTGCCACTGCAGTATATCTGAAATATTTAGTACAGTCAACCAAAGATGCACTGACCCCACCCTGGGTCTCGTATTCGTAATTTTACCTGGCAATACTTGGTAAAGGAAGGCTGTATGTAACGGTGATTGTAATTGGTGGATCTATTTTCGGCTGTATCACTGCCAGGATAAATATTAAACAAGCCAAAGGTAGAATTTTTATAATAATAAACTATTCAGTGTTATTTTGGATCATGAATAGTTTCCAAATGTTCGTATTTTTAATTAAATAATGAAGAAAATTTGATGTGACAATCTTGTGGCAGCTGTGGTTGTAGTTGAGTTACCAATTCATATCTGCCCCACTAAATGAAATCGAAAAAAAATATATATATATATATTGATTATTATATAGGGTGATAGACCCCCACCCCCCCACCAAGAAAAATGCTATATAGTGCTTTCGTCGGAAATTTATATATATATATATATATATATATATATATATATATATATATATATAAATTTCCGACGAAAGCACTATATAGCATTTTTCTTGGTGGGGGGGTGGGGGTCTATCACCCTATATAATAATCAATATAAAGTTCCGTGCATGTTCACTAAAAAATATTTAACCCAAAAAGAGCTTCATCACACTGCATAGAGATTTCCACACAGCGTAATTACGGCGTGAAAAGATAGTAAACTCTTCTTTCCATAACTATCCTCCCAGTGTTGGTTACGTTAAATAGTCAACCGAGTCGTTTACACCACTGAAACAACACCTGCAACCCGATATAAACAAGGTTAGATGTTTGTTACTACAACAATAATACAGGGAGTTTATAGTACAGTCGAAATACTCCACTATGTACTTCAAGTACAGTATAGGGGTGATTACACTTGCCTCTGAGTAAATGTACACGCTTGGGGTGGTGACCTGTGTTCGATCAGGGAGAAGGTTGGACGTGTTTATTATTACTAGAAATCCAATATGACTGACAATGAACAATGGAATGCGAGGTAGCGCAGATTGTGGTGCTAAGACGTTATATTTTTGTTTTTATAAGATGTAAACGTAAAAAACGCAGTTGTTCTTGTGCATCGAATTAGAAACATGACGTATGTTAGTCGTGAACACAAGTCCTGTCGCCCCTTGTGCTGCTCCACGAACCCTGAGATTCAGACTCATGAATCCGAAGCATTTATGGGCAGAATAATGCACCACTGTCTACTGCTTCGGGTTCATGAGTCTGAATCTCTTGGTTCGCGGAACAGCACAAGGGGCGACAGGACTTGTGTTCACGACTGTACAGTTGTAGTGGATCCTCTCCCCTACAACTACAACTGCCGTTTGTCGCTGACTAGCCGACCCCTCTTAGAATTCCCCAGCCTATGCCTCGTGGTCTAAGGTCGGCAACTAACGCTGCCTAACATAGCGGAGGTCAACTATCAAGCCACGCCTACCTCCGCTATATAAGACCTTACCTCGCCGTGACCTGCCTTCTTCTACCTACAGCCACGCAGCACGCAACACCTCTGAGCACGCACCTCACCAACCAGCTCTCTACTCCACGCTTGTAACCACGTTGCCACTTCCCAGCACCAAGCTGCCCTGTACATCCAATACAATATGTATACAAAGAACGCATTGTGAGTTTCCCTTCTCCAACCCATCCTGAGTGTGAATCAACATCACGAAACCCCACACAGTATATACAGGTTTTCCTGTTCTTGAGTTATGCTGCTGACCGAAATAGCTAAGGTAGTTTGTTTACATACTCACATGATCCTGCCGTGTCCTTTTACACATATTGAAATTCTACAGTTTACAGTAACGATAATACACTTGAGTTTCTCTACCCTAATCGCTTCAGTATGTTGACGACACTTAGGGACTTTTCTGGCTGACGCCTGACGGTTTTATCAAGCAGACGGGAAGCCCTTGTTGGTGTAATCACTGTCATATGCGACCTATACTCGACTTGACAGTATGGGTGTGTGACAAGAAGCTTAATTCTTAAAAGTCTAAAAAAAATTCCTTTATGCTATTTTGATTGTGTATCGTAAATAGTGTAAATTCTTTGAGTAAATGTTGCTGAAGGTAATACATTATACACTGTACTGATGGAACTGAAACAGGTGGGATAATTAGGTAACTAGAAATACTGTCACTAAATTCCATCACCCCTAAGAAGATGACGTTCTCCTCGGCTGTTACTCTCATATACAGAATATAAACATGTTGAACCCTGGAAGGTAATATGTAAAAGGGGAAATATGCACGCCGGTGGTTTAAAAAATAAATAAATGCCATTTCCATCGGTACTTTTATTTCCATGAGTCTTTCCAGGATTTTCAATCACTGAAAGGTAAAAGTGGGTCCCAAAGGCATGACTGCCCGTTAGGGACAGTGTGGATACAGCACACTGTATACTAACGCCCGTATTATTAAACAACATCTTCCCTTGAAGAGGGTCGTCGTGTTTCAACCGAGTTTTAAACTAAATGAGTCCTAAGGGACACCGCAGTACTGTACTTAACGGGGTGGTGTGGCGGTAAGATTAATTAATTCCAATAAAATTAATTTATAATATTGGAATTAATTAATCTTACCGCCACACCACCCTGTTAAGTACTGTACTGCGGTGTCCCTCAGGACTCATTTAGTTTAAAACTCGGTTGAAACACGACGACCCTCTTCAAGGGAAGATGTTGTTTAATAATACGGGCGTAAGCCTTCAGTACACAAGGAGGCAGCATGGCCGGTACTGCTCTCGACCGGATTCACTTCCCCAAGTTGTAAGCTTAGGTACCCATTTACAGCTGGGTGAACTGTGAGTGCCCGGGAATCAAACCAGTGACCCCCGGAACAGGAGGCAAGCGTTGTATCTACTCGGCCTCCACGCTCCAATGACAATAGGAACCCTGTAAATACTTCACAATCGTTAAATGTCTCACAAAACTACATCAACCAAGCTTCAACACATCGGTTCATTTGTTGTTCGTATAAATTTTTTATTACTGTGTACTGTACACACACACACACACACACACACACGTGCGCGCGCAAAAATTCTCGACTAATCCTATGAATGCTAACCACGACAGTGTAATTTACCTTCTCACTGAGAGAATTTTTCGTCCAGCTCTACAAATACCAATTTATGACTGAGTGAAAAAGTGACTTATTCACAAAAGAACTTACCTATGGTGTCCTGAACAGCCCCGAAGGACAGGTCAGATTCTACGCTCTCCTGCCGCTGTGCCATCCTGTACCTATCCTCACAAACAAATCTCTAGTCTTCTCAATAACTGCTGCAGGGCAGGTTAGGTTAGGTTAGGGTTCAGATGAGTCGGGAAAAGATAAGTTACATCAGGTTATATATATATATATATATATATATATATATATATATATATATATATATATATATATATATATATATATATATATATATATATATATATATATATATATATACAATCAACACCTCAACCCGCCAGAATTCGAACCCACGGCCCACGAGCCCATGACTGACCGGGAAACGCTAACTGCTGGACCACCAGGATACTAAAAGCAGTCCTAGACTCTGTTATGTTTCACACAAAGCTTGTTCAACGAGCTTATGGGCTCCTGGGCCGTGGGTTCGAATCCTGGCGGGTTGAGGTGTTGATTGTATGTAGAAGTCCGCGTGTTTATTGGGCTAATGAAATATATAAATATATGCAAGTAAATCACTGTAGGTGCGCGTGATCTAGGTATATGTATAACCACAAGGAAAGAAGAAGAAAAAACACGAAGTTTAACGCTTTCGTGTAA